CCATTTCTCGGTACAGACGCGGCGATAACGAGAGAGGCGAGTGTTTCAAGCAAACGTTCATGCCAAGAGATGTATCAGTGGACGTTTAAATGCGGCTTGTGCTATGCATCAATGTATCATTTTACGCATCGCTGGCTGGACTTGATGACGATGAAAGACAATTGATGATGAATCGAAAGAGACGGTAGCATGAGGCCACACTCTTTGCAGCCACCATCTCACGCAGAAGTGCACACACTCACAGAAGCAGCACACACACGCACACACCCATCCACACACGTGTACACCGTCCGTTCAATCAGCTGACACACAGAGAGCGACCACACACGTACTGTCTGTGTGCCCGCCGCCGACCCTCATGGTCGGTCAATCATGTCTGTCACACCCGGGAAGGCAGCAAATACGAACACATGACAGACAGGCAGAGAGAGGGCCCGGGACGAGAAGACGTACGCGTACGATCGATTACCACACACAAATGTATACATATGTATATATTTGTACGTACAGAACAGTACAGACTTACGTACATATGATGATCGCATATATATGTGAGCCACAAACGGACATACATATTCATGGCCAATGTGTTTGTCAGTCAGTCGGTCGGGCAGATGGCCGGACGAGCAGAGATCGATGGACGGGACACACCGCACCACACCACTGACCTCACCTCATGTGTTGTCACTTTCATCCCTCCCTCCCCCGCCCCGCCTCGTGTGTGTGTGTGTGTGTATCCACTGGGTGTGTATGGATGGATGTGTATCAGCACTGCGGGACGCACACACACACAGAGACACTCAGACACTCAGACAGAGGGAAGCCACGACACCAAGGCACGCACCACACACCATACAGAGTCATGATGTACACATCGCCAGCCTCACAGCCCATAGCCACTCAGTCGGTCAATCAAACAGTCACTCACCGCCGATTGCTTGACCGCTGGCTCCCTCCCTCCCTCCCGTGTGTATGTATGTATGTACACCAACAGACAGACAGACACCTAAGCACCTAAGGGTGCCACACCTACAAAAGTCGCCTCCTCCGACACACATGCACGCAGACACTCACTCAGTCAGAGAGACGGCAGACACACCACACTGACCGCAGAGAAGACAAGAGAAGAAACTTAAACCAGCCACCAATCAATCAGCCATGAAGCAGAGTAGTGGGCATACGGCCTTCGCTCATAGGCATCTGCAGCACCTCGCAATTTGCTGCACACACAAAGCATAGCACACAGACTTCATTGAGCACTAGGAGAGCAGCTCTTATTGTGTCGCCTTGCCTACCCTTCAAGGTCAAGGTAGCAGCGCACGATGATCGGTCGAACATACCCAACATGCATCGTAAAAGGCACAGCAAATGATCGCCTGTATATTGCTTTTGTTGGCTTACTTGTCTATCCATGTCATGCTCAGGATGAAGCATCCCAGCAGCACAATACCGAGGCCTACACGGCAACAGAAGCGCAACATAAAGAGCAATGCAAAGGCCTTCGTGTATATTCACAATACCGTAGAGGAAGTCGTGGATCTCCTCCTTGCTGAAGTGCTGGTTTTCGTGGAACTTTGCAAAACCTGCACACAATGTTTGCTGTGTATCCGTCTGTGTGCGCATGTCGCGTGTGTACCTCCTAGGAGAGAGAACAGGCACTGCGCCACGTAGAAGGTGGGCATGAAGGCCGCTGATTTCGCCTGCTTTAGATTCAAAGCCACGTAAAGGATGACCTCCTGCGTGCCGCAACAAAGGCAGGTTTCTGACCCGTGCTGGGGTGTCTGCTTCCATTGTGCCTGCCTGTAGGATGATGAGGAAGACCATCGCCAGCGCCGACACGGAGGTCTGACCGATGAGCCACCAACACACACAGCCGCCGCTGACGTTGCAGAAGGGCTTCTCGATGAGGGCAATGAAGCCGTTCTGTACATCCCACACACAGGTACGGCGCGTGTGTGTCCTACACAGGCTGACCTTGCTGGCGAAAGCCACTTGGGCCGAACTGTTTCATTTCTAGCGGCAGCTGTGCAGCGACGAGCCCCCCGAGATATCCATACGCAGCGCCTGACAATGCAAACAAGACAAAGGGCAGCAGTGGATGGATGGGTGAGCCTTTCGCGGCACATTCAGCCATTCGTCACTCACCCAAATCGGGAGGGATGCTTCCCCCGTTTCCGCCCTGATGCGCTGGCGGCTCTTCGTCCGGCGACCCAGAGGAGGATGCTTCTCCTTTAGAGGGGCGCTCACTTTCTCCCTCAAGCAACAGCTTTGTCTCACTGCTGTACACACATAGACAGCAAGGCGGTGGTGGGTGAGAAGTCGCAGAAGAGCCGCTGACCTCTGTGGCGGTGAATTCTCTTCGAGTTCCTGCGGCTGATGGGGCGCTGGCGGTGCGGCCGTCCTACAGCAGACAAGGGAACAAAGATAAGTGCACAAACCACACACACAGCCACCTGCCTGCCTGCCTGCCTTCCTGCCTGCCTGCCTGCCTGCCTGGCGGGAGATGGATGGATGGACGTGAATATGTACCTGGGTAGAAAGACCTCACGAAGCAATATGTACACAGAAATACAAGCTGCATTGACGGCCCAAAACGTCATGAAACTGCCGTAGTTCCAGCCCCATTGCCACTCGCAAATGAAGACACTCTCGATGGGATCGCCAGCCTGAAACGGCGCAGACAGCAAAGCAAATCGATGACGAGCGAGGCAATCAACTGTCGACCTACCTCTCCTGCTTCGTGTGCCTTGGTCGGACGCGCCACATACCACATAGCTATACCAACCCCTCCGGACACCACGATAGTCGAGACCCACTCTCGACCGTGGCAGGGCTCGCCATAAAGCTAACGGTTCCAAACAGAAACGTACATTCCTGTTTGCCTTTCGTCTCTTGGCTCACGCGGCCGACGATCGCAGAGAAGATGACAGATGTGGCTCCGACGGGCGCCAGTGTTGACGCCGGCGCCAGGTATTAAGCAATTCCATGAAGGAAGCCTCCCGACACCTGGATGCACTGGCCGCCCCACCAAACGTTCCCGAAGGGCGAGTCCGTCTTTTTGATCTGCACGCCTACGCAGCCGAGGGCTCCACCGCCCGCCGTCAGCACTGCTGCTGTGGCTGTTTGGACGGCCTGATTCTGCTGCTGCCAGAACCACCACTGACCTCCTGTAATAGCCAACCACACCACGAGGAGCCAGCTGACGCTTCGGAAATCCATTCCTCCCAATCCCTACAAACAAGAGCAGAGCAGCAAGGAAGCCCACTGACGTGCATCGATGAACAGGCCCTGAAGCTGCATCACGGACGGCGTACCTCTCTCGACAAAAGATCTCGTCAGAGAGATTCTCAAACAGGGAGACGGTCGCGTCGAATCTGGCAAGCCGTTGATGCTGTTGATAGCGGGGACTCAAGCGGCCGCCAGATGATGATTCCTGGCGCGCAGCTCGCACGTCAAAGAAGCTCGCAGATAAGATGAACGTCAAAGAAAAAGCCGCCGACGAACGACGGATTCAGCCACTCCCTGCACACACACAGAGCAAGAACACAGCGAGTGAGGCACCTGCCGCTGCGGTAACGTGACGTGGGGAATGGCGCGCGTGTGGGGGGCCCCCTCTCATCCGTCCCGCTGGAGCAGCCTGAGGCGACGAGGGTGAGGAGCAGCCACGACGCAGCAGAAGAGGAGCCGCCACAAGCAGTTTGGCGTGTCCATAGACAGTGCACAGTCGCTGAAGCTGCCGACGTTGCCCTTATCTTCGCAGGAATGACCAGCCCGACGGCCGAAGGCTTCAGCACCATCCCCTATGCCTCCATGCGGCCCCTTCAGCCGCACGGAGCATTTGGGTCCCAGATTCCAAGACGTCGGGGCCACATGCGCGACTTCTCCCTTCGCCCCCCTCCCGAGTGGATGGACAGCTGGTGGGGAAGGTGATGACAAGATGACGCCACGATGATGCCGAGAAGAAGCCAGAAGCGTCCTGGCTGACGATGCTGCTGCCAGTGCCGCAAAGCCGCGGATGGCTGACTCATGATCATTGCTGAGGGAAGGATCCTGCAGCTGGCTGCCACCGAATCAGCATATTGGCTCCCCCGAGGTGATGTCGTTGGTATGGGGCAGAGGAAGAGGGCCACAGTGAGCACAACTCATGCAGGTACGAAGGATGAGAGCCACTCAGCCATCGGATGTGTTTTGTGTGGGGTCTGTCCAGGCGCATGGCGACGTCTTCTGCCGCTTGAATCATGATGCTGAGGGGGTGGGGCGAGGGAATAGCCGGAGTGAGAAGGGGAACGGCGGCAACGAAGTCGACCGAAGATCTGTTTCGCTCTTTCCCGAAGAAATAGAAGGCAGCTCCGGGTGCAACGCTTCGGCCGGCGGTGGTGACGACGGCTGGGTGTCCGGCAACGCACCCAAGATCGGCTGACCGTCCGCTGCACGGGACCACCATGGCCAGCAGATGCGCGGAAACGGGGCAATCGTGCGGCGATGGGGAGTGATGAGTGAATGAGTCAATCAGCTCACCAGACTGAGGCAGGTCGGGCTGCGGGGAAGGATGCTGGGAGTGCTTCACTGGTGGACTGCATTGCAATGCATTGCAGGGAGCGAGGTGTTTTCTACGACAAGTGCATGCAGAGCGTTCTTGTGTCATGAGTCGACTGACTGACTGATTGATGAATGGATTGATCAACGTGATGATCTGATCAATGTCGGTGTCAAGCGTGCTTTGAGTAATGTCTCACGTGAAATCGGGACTCCGAAAGGGACGGTCCGTCTCTCGGGCAGCTGAAACGTCCTCGTGAGCACACCGATGGCAGCAGGAAACGAGAGCGAAACGCCGCACGGCACATGTCTCGCCACATTCACTGGTGGGTTGCGGATGTAAAGAGCGCTGATTGGTTTTGCCTCAAGTCGGCCCTCTGCAGGCATTTCATTTGGCGCTGCTCTGTGGTCGGCCGGTGAGCCATTCAGTCATTTGTGGTTGCCTGGCCGTCTGTCTGTCCATCTCTATCGTTTGGTTTTGAACTCTAAAATGTCAGCGGTTTGCACCACATAGTCCCGCCCCTTTGTCGAGACCCGCCCTCTCTTGCGACACTCGGCCAGACCGCCATACTTCATTACATCTTCATACCGCCAACACTACACATACGCATGGATGGATTCACACACACACACACACACACACACAGAGAGAGAGAGAGAGAGAGAGAGAGAAGGAGAACAGGCGACGAGGTTATCCATCAATGCGTGGATGGCCACCGGACATCCATCCAGCTGACCTCTACTTTCTCGAGTTTCTTATCGAAGTCAGTGTGTATGGCCGCTGCTGCCTCGGGTGCCTTGGCGCCCTTGGGGATGAACCACGCCCGAGACTCTGACGATCACACAGACACGCTCCATCTACATAAGAGCATCCGTATGCATGTTGACTCACCGTCTTGGCCCGATGTGTAGTAGTAATGGATGTCCATCAGATCCATGCACTCACGCAGGATCTGCAGACAAAAGAGGCGTCAGGAAGGGCCTTTTGCGTCTCTGCCCGTCTCACTCACTCACTCATCAACTCACCCGCATGAGTGCCGGCTCCCCGCGTTCCAGGCCGAAGCTCATGAGATACTCACGCTGGAACGCGTCCGAATCACCTTCCCTCAGCTGACACGCCTCCATCTCGAGCTTGGCCGACACCACAGTGCAGCGCTGGCCGCGCTGACCACAGTAGTCAGCTAGCTGGCCACTCAGCTCGTTACCGTCCTTGGCCGACTCAGCCTGCCACAATGCAGCACGATACACAAGGCACGGCCTGTGGTGTGCAACGATCCTCTTGTGTGCAGCTGACGTACGTCGACATTGGCAACGACGAGTGTTGGTTTGGCGGTGATGAAGGGAATGTCGGGCACCAGGTCCCTGTCGTCGTCAGTCAGCACCGACCGGACGGGCTCGCCCTTCTCGAGAGCCGCCAGGCCCTTCTCGAAGACAGGCAGGCTGCGGGTGGCCTCGGTGTCCTTGGGAGACTGAGCCTGCCCAGAAGGATGCAAGGAGAGGGACAATGGGCATTTGTGCACTCTGAAAGAGCGCTGTTCGGCTCATTCGCCCACCTTCCTCCGGAGTGCTGGCAGTCTCTTGGAGGCCACCTCGAGGTCAGCGATCAGCAGCTCCTCCAGCACACTGAGTGAGGGGTCAAACCCGGATCATATCAGAGTCGCATTTGGGCATGAGCACTGAGGAGACTGACCTCTCATATTCCTGTACCGGAGAGAGACTGCCTTGGTCTTCCTGCAGACAGACAGAGAGGTGACACCAAGAATGCACGCCGCGGGCCACATTGGATAGACGTGGATGCAGGAGGAGGTCTTACCACGTGTGTGACGTTGACGTCTGCAAAGCAGCGGACCACATGCAGGACGGCAGACACACCCCTGGCGCACACACAGAGCAATACAGCACATCGTGTCAGCAATCCGCCCAGCCATTGGTGGTCCGTCGCCCCCCTACCTACCTGATGTGAGATAGAAACGCATTACCCATCCCCGCACCCTTTGCCGCACCCTTGATCAGACCAGCTACACGGACGCAGCACACATGATGATGGGAGAGCGTCAGTCACATCTGCCTGTGCTATCCTGCCCACCGATGTCCCGCACTTCGATCAGTCCGTATGTCGTCTTCTCCGACTGCTCGATGCGGGCCAGCTCGTCGAGGCGGGGATCGGCCACGGCGACTTTGGTTACATTGGGATCGATGGTGCAGAATGGATAATTCTCCGCGGACCTGTATCAATTCTCATAGCCAGGCAGTCAGGCCGTCAGTTAGACTGTTTTTGCAACACCCACGCCATCTGCAGCGAATGGCCAAGAGGCATGCCATGCCCAGGTGGGTCTGTGTGTCCGTGTGCTCTGCTCGCTTCATGACGCACCCACCATTGTCTGTGTGATCGCATTGAAGAGAGTGCTCTTTCCGACACTGAATTCACGCAGACATTTAAATGGACGAAAGTGCCAACCGTGAATGGTTCATCATTCTGCTTACTTGGGGTATCCCACCAGGCCACACGACCGCCACCTTGCTTGAAGAAAGACAGCGTGTCCTCGCGGAGAGGCGCGAGGTGATCTCTGCAAAGTGAAGACGCCAATGAGCGTTGACGATGCCTCCGAACGCCCCGCCGCACGCATTGATCTGTTAGAGCACAGATCACCTCTTCCCTACACTGAATGCCCCACAAATGAACCTATGCGTTGCGCTTATTGTCCACTCTGCCGCGTCCATTCCCAGTCGTGAGCCACTAAGCTCGCAGATCTGCGTTTGATCGCTTTGTTGGGAAAACGACGAACAAATGGCACGCGGAGCGAGGAAGGCTTCCGTGCACACGAGCATCTGTAGAAGCACTCATTTCAAATGAGTCAACGGCGTCGTTGAGGCACCATCGTGCCTCGCTTGATCTGATGAGCGGCTTCGAGGGCAGCCGGTGCAGGTTCCTGCTCGAGCATGACGACAGCCGCCTCTTCACTGTGCTATGCAACTATCTGTCGGTTGGCCAATTCGAACTCGCACGTGCCCTCCTGCACCAGGTGGCCGCGCGGGATCTCAGCAAGGCACTGACGGTGCTGAAGAGCATTGTGTGGCACGGCCCTCCGCCCAATTGGCTCAGCTCGGTGTCGGTGCCCTCATCGGCCCATCTATCATGGCTGTGTCTGATCGAGTTCAGCAGCCTCGTGGAGCAGCGTCAGAGGAAGACCTCGGCCAGACGAGAAAGAGCCGGTGGCAGCAAGGCCAAGGTGCCCGGCTGGCTACACGACCGCGTGCAGTTCGACGTGCTGCTGGCGCAGACGGTGCTGGATGCTGCGGCCATTCAGGCGCAGGTGGTGACGGCTGAGGTGGTGTGTGAGCTGCGGGCGTATCACGCGTCGCTGCTGTGCTTCCAAGCGGAGCGGGACCTGGCTGTGGGGACAGTGGCTGAAGGGGACCCTCTGGCCATGCCGCGCGTCGTCACGCTGCCCGCGGTGTCGCTCTTGCCGCTGCCGGCCCTGCTGCCGCCCACCATCTCCCGCTTCCCTCTGCAGACGTTGGAGCGCACCAAGCAGGCGAGGCGATTCAGAAACGGAGAGGTGTTGCTGTCTAAGAGCGCTATCCAGCAGCTCTACTCGCTCCTCAAGACACAACCGCACCTCGGCCATGCTCTCTGCAGCGCTATGGCGCCGTCATCGTTTTGTGAGGTGGTCCCCCCCTCTCCACCTGCAGCCTCTGAGCAACGGCGGGGCAAGACTGTGTCGCCATCGGCGGCTGTGGGAGAGGAGATTGCTGCTGAGGGTGACGGTGGTGTGGATGCGGGAAGGGACGAGCCATCGATGCCACCGCCAGTGCGGGTCTCGCCCAGAGATGGAGATGGGACGGCCGGGCCCTCGCTTCAGCATCTGACGTCTGGGGCAGCCTTTGAGCTGCCCCCGTCGCGAACAAGTGTTCTCAAGTCTACTGATGACAGCTCGATCGACTCTGGTCGCCGCCAGCCCCCGCCCCCACCACCCCGTCCGCGACCTCCCCCATATCCCCCCGCAAGTATGCGCGCAGTACCTGAGCGGACAGGGCTATCGGCGCCCGGCGACGCAACAAGTGGCTTCCCATTCGGCCTTGGGAGGAGCGCCCCTGCCCTGTTGATGGCTGGACGAGTGCAACTCATGTACATGGGATTGACGGCTGACTCGTTGCTGCATCACGCGCTGACTCGGGACGACGCCTGGGCATACTTGCGCTTCCTGGACATCTCTAGTGCTGCTCTCCATTTGGTGCCCCAGAATGGTGGGCCCACACACACCCCGCCTCCCCCACCGCCAGTGACCAACTTGATCCCGCCCTCATCGCTCAGCAGCACGGCACGGCAAGTGGAGAGACCCACCCTGTCCTACCCCCCGGCTGATAACGGCACTAGCAAGGCGGGCGGCTGGGCGCCGGTGTATGAGCTGTTCTCCATCCTGGTGGTGGCTCACAGCGACCCCTCCACTCTGTGTGGGGTCAGCTCGGCGCCAGCCTTGCGCAGCAGACTGGCATCGTTGGTGGCGCTGCCTCTATCAGCCCCCTTGTCCAGCCCTCCTTATCCGGCGTCGCCGGCCGCCCCGATGCCGTCGCCAGTGCTGGTGAGAGGCACTCCGCCCCTGCAGAGTAGCTATCAGGGGCCGTATGATGCCAGTGGTTGGGACGAGGAGAGGCTCGGGATGGTCGCCCCTGGCGCTTATGGCGGTATGGACACCAGTGCGGCGTGTGCGCTCATCTCGAATATATTCCACACGTCGAGGTCTCCCATTTCCACGCGGACAGGGTGGGTGAGCACGGAAGGAGAAACCCAGACGCATCGCATCCATGTCATGCGATGCCTGAATGATTCCATTCCTCCTGTGTGTGTCGGACTGTCTGTCTGTACGTACAGTGGTTGGATGGATGCCAAGGTGGCAATGGGGGGTCATCCCCACCCTCACCACCCCCACCCCCCTCTGCACGAGCACAACGCCCTCGAGGCGCCCGACCCCTTCGAGTCCTCCCCTCTGCCCCTGGCCCACCACCCCCACCCCGGCACCATCTCCCTCCCCCGCACCGCCTCCCGTCTGTTCTCCAAGTTCTTCCACCGCATGATGGTCATGCGGCCCAAACGGGGCGGCCGCGACGGGGCCGTCAGCGATGCAGACACGGACGCGGCGACCGAGGCGGCCGAGATGGAGCTGGATGGGGCCAATGCTGGTGGCGATGCCACCAGTGTGTCGTCCGATGAAGAAGGCACGGCCAGGTGGGTGCCGTCGGATCGGAGCTTCAGCTATCGCACGCGTGTCTATGAGGCGCTGTTTGCGCATGAGGACCCGCTGCACAACTACACCGGTCTGCGGCTCTACTGTGTCCTCGAGGATGAGTTTCTCAAGCTGCAGGCAGCGCAGTCACCACTGCCACCCGCATTCGAACTCCTCAATCGGGCCACACCCACTGCTGGTGCTGCCGTGCCGTTACGCCCTCACCAACAACAACATGGGGCAGCGAGTGACGGCCGCTCCAAGGCATCAGCGGCATCTCCCACCAGTGAGGGATCCCATGCGCCTCTCCCGCATGGCCCCCCTTCGCACACCACGACGCCCACCAGCACACGAGCGAGCGTCACGAGCGGCACGGGAGGGCCCACTGCAGGAGGCAGTGCGGGTGTTGGTGTTGGTGTTGGTGGCGGTTTGCACGTGTACATTCCTGGTTCGGGGTCGATATCGTTTGAGGAGCCGTCCTGCCCCTTCTGGGACGCGTACTTCGAGTTCACCAGGGTGGCACACCAACACTGCCTTGAGTAAGCCAAGCCATCCGGCCCGCCCCGCCATCGATGCAGACACAGACACATGGTTGGTTGCTTCACTCTGTGTCTGTGTGTATGTCTGTGTCTGTGTCTGTGTCGCTGGAGGTATGCGGTGACGACGGCAGTGCGGTTCATCAAGAAGCGTCACTTCCAGGCCAGCGCCTGTCTGCTGGCGCCCTTCCCGCAGCTCAAGCCCCTCGTCATCCTGCTATGCTGGCCCGAGTTCCACGGCGACGTCGCCGCCCGACAGACTTTGCTGGACGTGCTGTGGAAGTCCTACTGCGCCGACACGACAGAGGCGCCACTCAAGACGGGGGACCTGCTGGTGGACCATCACGTGGAGGTGCTCGACTACCAAGTCGCCGCCACTTGGTGGATATCCCGGCTGGTGTCACAGCAGAGAGGCGTGTCGGCAGCAGGGGCGGGAGCGGGGGAGACGCCATCGGACAAGGGAGGAGACCCCTTCCGCATCACGACGGCCTCGTCGCTGCCCGGCATTGCTGCTGACGTCTTGCAGCAGGTGACGGCTCAGTCCATCCTCGCTGTGATGCAGACGCTGCTCCCCGCCGTCAGTTCGTCACGGCTCATCTCTGCGCTGGACAACCTGCCCCCGCTAAGGCAGCCGCGGGCCAGGCTGGAGCACTCGTATGACCTCGACCTCGCCAAGACCTACTATGCGCTGCGGTGTGCCATCGCGCTGGTGGAGAGGTGCATGTCCGCCAGCCCGTCTAGAGTTGTGATAGAGGAGTCGCTGGGCGAACTGCACCGGCTGCTATCGTCGCTGAATCGCACGCCGTTCAAGCTCTCGCTCCTGCTGCATCTGTGCTCCCTGTGCGTGGCCCGCAAACGACACATGAGAGGATCGGGGGCAGCAGGGCCGACTGGAGCTCGCGACTTTCTGGTGCCGCCCAACGTGGTGATCTCGATCATGACGCTCGTCAGGTGAGCTGGACGGCCTGTCTGACTATTGTCCGTTCCATCTCATCTTCTTTTCTGAGGGTGCGTGTGTCATGGCTGTATCAGGGTGCACGTGCTGCAGTTGGTGTCGGCTGAGCAGAGGAGTGGCGGCCGTGGGGGAGACGGTCCGGGGCGGCTGCAGCGCATCATGACACAGCTGCGTGTGTTCATTCAAGTGAGCAAACCAATCAAGGGGAAGAAGATCCATCAAACCACATACATCCGACAATAAATGTGCTTTGTCTGTCGGTCTGTGTGTGCCGCTCACAGGAGGCCTTGTGGCGTGCCTTCATCTGTCTCAAGGACTACTTCGCCTTCTCCGCTCTCGCCCACCCCTCCCATGGCGACCTCAGCCTCATCAGTGCCGACAGTATCACATCGGCAGCTGGCTCACAGGGCAGCGGCGGGAGCGGCAAAGGGCCAACATCGCCGCCCCAACCACACGCAGGCATCGAAGCACCCAGAGCCACAGACCACTTGGCGGCGCCATCGCCCTTGACACCCACCTCGCCGCGCCCGCCCGATTCCTCGTTGATCGAGGGCGCTGTAGGTGTATTGGACGAGATGTCATGGATGGGTCTGGGCAGCGGCGAGTGGAGACAGTGGGCACCGAGGGTGGGCGCCGTGCTCTTCGAGACCCACATGGAGGCCAGGTGGCACGGTGTCACCACGGGAGCCAAGGCGCACGACGGGGCGTCGGAGGGAAGCGATGAGTCTGCGCAGCGCCCGTCTGGCCGCGAGCGTGTGGTGGTTCGTGGCGGCATGCAGTCCCAGCCCCCCCACCCATTCATGCGGTTCTGCACGCCGCCTGAGGTGCCCATATCGCTGGCGCCGTCGAGCTTCATTCCCAGGATGCTCGCCGAGCCATCGGTGCTGCTCAACCGGGCCCTCAAGATCAACGATTACGTGCTGAGCATGCAGCTGGTCGATTACTTCGGCCTCCCCGCCGTGTGCCGATCCACAGTGACGATCGCCGAGCGATTTGCCGCTTTGAGGGGCCGCGTGGCCGCACTCAAGACAGCTGCTGTTCGAGACGAGGGCGACGGCGGCAGCGGTGGTGACTTGGACTTTGGTGGTGTGAAGAGGGGCATCGATGAGATACTGGGAGTGTGCGAGCGAGACGGCCTCGATGATATGGTGTTGAGCGGGAATGCGAGCCTCCTCGCATTCTACGCCTGTGTCGACCTGGCCGTGTCGGCCGCAGCCAACGCAGGTCAGGTCACTGCACTGAGCCGAACACACGATACCTACCCGTGTCCTGCTATTCATTGTTACGCGGGCCTGTCTGTCTGTCTGTGTGTCTGTCTGTGTGTCTGTCTGTCTGTCTGTGTGTCAGATTTGTCGATGACGCTGCTCAAGTGCGCCTCGGCCTACCTCTCCGCCCACCGCAGTCGCAGCCAGCAGTCATCCCCCTCTCCCACACCGACCACAGCCCCCCTCCCCGACGGCCTCTATGCCTTCTTCACCAACCTCATCGACAGATTGTCGGTCTTGCTCGAGGCCAAGGGGCGATTCGACCACACATCCGGCAGCAAGGCAGAGACGGCCACCACGAGCGGCCTGGCCGCCCTCATGCTCGACGTCGAGACCCTCCCTACCGAGCCGGCCCTCCTGCGGACTCACCTCAGCCGGGTGCAGTCCCAGCGCAACGCACTGCTGTCGCTGGTGGAGTCGGTTGATCTCCTCAAGAAGGGCCACACGTCGGCCTCCCACCGGTCGCTCATGGACTTCCTCTCATCCGCCATCAAAACACTCGCCAGCGAGCGACCAGATGAGTCCCCGGATGGGGGTGGTCAGCCGGGTGGGGGTGACGCAGTGGAGATCTCCCAGCAGGCGGACAATGCCTTCGACCAGGAGAGGAGGGGCGAGAGCGGCCCGAGGTATCTCCTGGGCTTCCTCGAGTACCTCACCAAGGTGGCCGAGTGGCTGAGGTCTGCATCCCAGGCCAGCATGGCCCGCGGAAAGTCGGGCGATGCCGCAACTGCGACCGAGGAGGCGAATGAGGCTAAAGGGGAGATGGAGGGTGAGGGCGGTGGGGCAGCAGCTGGCGCTGCGTCAGCTGCGGCCAGCTCTAGTAGGGATGGTGGTGTTGGTGTCAGTGGGGGCACGTTGAGTGTCCTGGGGTCGGCCATGCAGAGCGAAGAGTGGCTCGACTACTTCTCTGTACTCGCCAAAACACCTAAGGTAAGGTGCCAACAGAACACAGCACACACCAAGCGAAAGAATGCCAGCATCGCATCACATCGCATCGAGCACACTCCATTCCCTTTGTTGGTGTCTGCAGGCCACCGTGGCTCGTGTGCTGTTCGAGCTTCACGGTCACCGCGAGGCCCTGCAGCTGGCGGACGTCATGGGCGTCGATCTGGTGGAGGTTATCCTCAAGTCTTCCCTGCCCCTCTCGCTGCTCTACCAGACACCCACACCCTCCCACCAGCAGCAGCAGCTGTTGCCCACATCGCCCGCCGACACCGACAGTGCCGCCCATGGATCGGCCAGCGACGAGGGCAGCGCGTCAGACGCCGACAGTGGTGGCGGCGATGCGTCGCGGTACCCATTGTCGATGGAGCTGGTGCTGTACCTGGGTGAGTTGGAGGGGCCGCTGCCCGACGTCAAGGTGCCCTCGGCCCCACTCCTGGCCACCATCGCCTGTCTGGAGAGGTGGAACCATCGGTGGCCGTCGAGGGATTTCCTGACTTTCGCACAGGAGCAGAGCAAAGTCTTCCCATGCATCTATCGGTCAGCTGACCAGGACTTGCCGAGGGGGAACAGGAAGAGGATCTTCTGTCTGTCTGTCGCTGCCTGCTATGTGGGGCTGTCTGTCTGGCAGGTGGATCGAGGAGCGCAACGAAGCATGGCGGGCCATCTGTGAGACGGCGCGAGCAACGCAGGACGAAACTGCTGATGATTCCTCTGATTCCCTCTCGTTCAGCGTGGCGGAGCTGCAGACCCTCGCACAACCACAGCGGGTAGGGTAACACACTTGCACACACGAAGGATGAGTGTACAGACAGCATCTGTGCGTGTGTGGTGTATGCCTTCAGGCGGCCCTGCGTGCGGTGGCTGACGACGCCGAGGCCTCCCTGGTGTCCTGCTACACCGAGAGGGTGCTGAGCCTCCTCAGCCAGACCCCGCCGCAGTACCAGCACGCCCTGCGCATCATCGACGAGCACCTGCCGCTGCACAGCCCGCTGAGCGACCGCACCCTCCACTCGATGCTGGTGCAGCAGGAGGCGCCGGGCAACGGTTGCGCTGGTGGTGGAGTGGGGTCCATGGAGGACGACCTTCGCGTGTTCGAGTCGTTGTACCGCCTCAAGGACAAGACGCTCGCCGCCAGACTGGCTCTCACCAAGTGAGAAAATGAATGTCTCGACTCGAGAGCACTCAAGAGGCATGTATGCACGGCTTTTGGTCTGCCTTTGGTTTGGTCAGGTATCGTGAGTGGGATGCCGACACGGCCATCCAGACCCTCACCATGTGCCTCCAAAGCCTCGATGCTGACGACCGCACCGCCACGACCACAGGCAAATCCGACACTTCCCCCGACGCACAGCAGCTGTCCCCCTCACCAGCAGAGGACCACCCGTCATCTGTGTCGCCCGTGTCGCCCGACGACGGAGGGCCGTCAGCGCCTGTGGCCGGCAAGAGTCTCCGCAAGCAAGTGCGGCAGATCCTGAAGAAGATGGTGACCTTCAAGAAGATCCTCGACGTGCCCGGGGGGCGGTGGCGCGTGTGGCAAGAGATAGAGAGGGAGTGCGGGGGCGGCTGTGGGGCTGACGAGAGAGGGTCTGCCACTGGTGAGGTGCCTGTGACGCCCACCACAGCAGTGTCCGTGTCGTCGTCGTCGCCCCTGGGTGGGCTGGTGGGTGATGCGCGTGGCATAGGTGAGGTCATCAACACGTTGGTGGACCTCAAACAACACGACCTCGCCAGGGCACTCACCAAGGTACGTATCGGCGTGAACGTGACAACGCACTAAGCTGAGCGAGATTTGGGTTGGTATTGTGTGTGTATTGTGTGTGCAGATGTATCGTTTGACTGATCCGATTCCCTCGTTGGAGCTGTCGTATCTCCTGCACCTATTCACCACACTCAACGACAAAACAGCCGCCGTAAGTGCAGTGCAGTAAGTACCTCTCATCTCCCTCTCTCTTTTGTCACTGACGGCTGTGGCTGGCTGGCTGCTTGTGGGCTCATGCAGGTGAAGCGTCTCCTGTCGTTTTCGCCCCAGCTGGCCGTGTCGTTCGTGTTCCAGATGCTGCATTCCCTAGACCGTATTCAGCACCGGATCCTCCTCTGCCGGCTGCTGCTGTCCAAACTCAATGCATGGCTCACCAAGGAACAGGTGAAGGGAAGGAGTGACTGCTGGACAGACAAGGAATGGGTGTGGGTGTCACCGTTGCAACCTACTGTGTGTGAATCAGGTTCGTCAGCTGCAGGTGCTGAACGCGTCGATGCAGCTGCTGGGCAAGGTGTCGGATACGGTGCGGCCCCACTTCCTCAGTCTACTCGACAGACCCCTGCTCATCGTCGAGTCCCTGCTCATGAACGCACGGTACCCAACACACCCACAGCCACCCTCCCTGACATATGTACTCATCTGTCGTGCTGTCTCTGTGTGTCGGTCTCTCTCTGCTCCATCAGTGTGGATCTGCTGCGTCCCTTCCTCGAGGATTTCCCCGAGTTCCGTCAGGACAGCCTCATACTCAGATACGGCCGCAAGGCGCTCGGACTCCCACCAGAGCCACACACAGCCGACACGCCGACGCATGACGACGATGACACGGTTGTGTCACCCGCCGCGGCTGCCGCAAGCAGTCCCGCGTCTGTGCATCATGGTGGTTCGGATGAAGGTGAAGGAGGCCTCGGCGGGCAGTGGTGCCTGACGGGCGACGGCGCATCCGATGCCCACCTGCGTCGCATTCATGTCTTCGAGGACGCCCCCTCGGCCGCCCTGGCAGAGAGCATCCTCGACCTCTGCTCATCGGAGAGGTCGCAGAACGCCGACAGCTGCTTCCAGATCTGCGACGAGCTGTCGCTGTGTGTCCATCGACTGGTGCCGCGACACCCTGTGCACCCGGGCGTGGCATCACCGTCACCAAGTCACCCCCCTCAGCCTGCGTCTGCGTCGCCGCTGCATTGCCACACGACGGTGAATACGTCGGCGGGGGGGCGGTCGCTGTATGGGCGATATCTGGACATGTGCGGTGGTGGGGGGCGAAAGATCGGCACCCCTGGCGGCGTGTCGATGGCGGTGGGGGCTGGCAGTTGTCATGGTGGTCGTGAGAGGGAGGAAGAGACGGCAGGTGCCCCGGTGTCGCCGTCTACGTCAGTGGCTGTGGTGCTTTACATGATACGGAGGCTGCTCAACTTCCTCAGGTAGGTCAATAACAACACACAACACAGAGAGGCAGCAAATGTCTTATATATACGAGAAGCATCCATCCCTTGCTTGTCGTCTCCCTCTTATATAATCACAGGCACAAGTTCGTGGTTGTGTCGGGTATGGCCTACAAGATGGACCGGTCTCTTCGAGTGCTCGACTTCATCCCACGCCTGTGGCAGCGGGCCGGGCGGCGAGTGGGCCTCGCGCAGCTGGCCGACCCCCGGCAGGCGTCACTCGTCCGCGACCAGCTCATCCGCGAGGACCACCTGGCACTCTCCCTCGAGCTGTGCCAGCGGTGCAGGGGCAAGGACCGAGACGATGACAATAATGGGGGTGGTGCGGGGGCGCAGGGTGGACGTGGCAAGGTCGCGGACAAGGGCAGACAGGGTGGCGAATGGGCCTCAAGTGGAGGCCGCCATGTCGTGTCCGAGGACCCGGTGCGGCAGGCCAAGGCGGTAGGGCTGCTGATGCTGCAGCGGTCCGATGACGCCAAGAGGGAGCTTGAAGGCACGGTGCTATCCCCAGCCAGCCAACGGCATCCCCCCACCACCGAGGGCACTGCGGGCGACGAGACGACCGATGGGGAGGGTGGAGGGCTGATGTCGCCAGGCCCCAGTTCACCCCCAGCCGCCTCGGTCGCATCCATGGGGTCTGGCAGCGTGTCAGGGCGTCTTGGGCGAAAGGGAGGGCCTTCCGAGTGTGATGTGCTGACGTCTCTCGAGTGGGCCATCCGGCACCCACCCATCTACGACCTCAGGTCGCTGCGGCAGCTGCACCGCCTCCTCACCTTCAACACCCTCCACCACAAGCTCTTTGGCCGCACCCCACTGCTGGCCCCACTGCCCCTGCAGCTGTACCCCAGGCGCCCGTCACACCCATCATGCCCACACCCATTCGCTCGCCGGCCACCACAGGAGGGGCAAGGGGAATGGACCACAGGGGATGATGAGCGTGAGCATGCAGGGGAGGAGGAAGGGGTGGAGGTCGAGGTGGACACACTGGACCGAGTCGACGTGAGGCGTGATCTGCGGGACAGGGCTTTGCCCATCGCGGCTTCACGGTCGCTGCCGCGGACGATCATCTACCTCTATCCGTCAGTGCACCCCAGCAAGCTGCCCAGTTTCCCGCCCAGGCTCCGGTCGCTGCTGAACCGGCAGATGGCTGAGCAGGTGGAGGGGGAGGGCGAGGAGGTGGCGCCGTCACAGGCTGGCGAGGAGGAAACTAAGACACCATCAGCGGCGGAATCGACACAAGGTGCGGCTGGACACACCGCTCATGCGACCGATCAACATGAGACACACACGTGGTTCTGTTTTGTTCATTCAGCTGCTGTTGCGGATTCGTCATCTCAGCCGTCTGAGGCGCTCGCCAAGACACCAATCGGCACCCGGACCCCCACCCTCGAGAAGAGCCTTACCCCATCAGCATCCTCAGACAACCTCACCATCCAGGCGACGACAGCCACGCCAGGCTCGCCCACCAGACGGACAAGAGCTCTCGGCGTCGTGCCGATCGAGAGGCCCACCACACTTTCACCGGCCGCCAAGCCCATGACGGCCGACGACGAAGGCGAGAGCGGCAAGGCCGCCAGCCCCAGCAGTCCCGTGAAGGCATCGGCTGTCCCTGAGAGAGACCTGACGATGGGAATGATGGGTCCGTCCCCCGCCGCCCCTCTGGGATGGGTGTACATGTACGTCGACCGCGATGGGCAGACCCACCGCGAGGAGCTCATCACCTACCCCAAACTGACACGAGACGTCAGCTATGTGGCCGTCGGAGTCATGAGAGGAGGGGGCGGGGGAGGGGGAGGGAAACAGACCATGGCTCCATCCAAGGACAGGGCGATGCCGTTCGCAGTGGTGCCCAGCAACCGTGTGCCGCGGCTGGTCCGGTGCCGCCTCTCGCCCCGGCTGCTGACTGAGGCATTGGAGTACCACAAGAAGTATGGCGACGCTGCGTCGCTGCTGGACCTGCTCATCCGAGAGGGGCAGCTGGACCGTGCCATCCAGATGGTCTTCCTGCAGGACCTGCCCGACGAGCTGTTCATCGACGTAGTGGCCCACTATGCGCTGGCCCACAACCGCATGCTGGAGGTTCAGACCGTCATTTCCAACCTGCTCGCACGCCCACCACCCACAGGCCCCTCGAGAGCCATCGTGCTGCCAGAAGGCCAGGCCACCGCCACCACCACCACCACCAGCACCATGCATCAACCAGGCCCCCTCTCACAAGCGCCCCCCATTCCCTCTGGTGAGCTGGCGTCGGCCGCTCCCCCGCCCTCTCATGCGTATGGTCAGGCTGTGAATCCGATGATGGCCAAGCTGGAGAGGACGATGCGAGCGCTGAAGGGGTATCTGCGGCAGAGGGAGGCATTGGAGCTGCTGTATGGGTACCAGGTGTTCACGAGGGACTATGTCAACGCGGCCATCGTGGCGGTGCAGCTCTTCATGACATCCACATGCTGGTGAGAGGAATCTTGAGAAGGCCAGTCCGGATGGTCCATTTGATCATATATGTGTTCGTGTGTGTGTGTGTGTGTCAGGGATGCTCGTTTCGGCCACCTCCATAATGCGTTCTCGCATCTCAGCGCCGCACTGCAGCTCATCAGGAGGAGCTATGAACGAGCGTAGGGATGCAATAGCGAACGCATTAACACCCACGTGTTGACATCCATCCACCCAATTGGTGTCTTTGTATATATGTCACACACAGGTCCCGTCCGCTGGGCGGCCCCCCTGGTGCAGGTGTGAGTGTGGGCGTCGAGGGCGCGCCGTCAGCGCCGCCACGCGCCAGCAGCCCCGACGGCCACGGCATCAACTTCAACGCCACATCCGACATCCCCATCCAACAGCTCACCGAGAACGACGTGCTCAGGTGAGTGATCATGCCGCATTTCGCCTGCGAAGCAATCAATGGTCGATTGTCTGTCTGTATGTGTGTTGTGTCTGTGTGTGGTGGTGTCAGGGGCTTGCGTACACTGAAGCTTCAGATGGAGGTGTGCGAGACGCTGCCCAACCTTCCGCCGCGCATCAACCTCTTCGGGCCGAGAAGTGTACAGGCAGAGGTCAGCCAAGCCACCCACTGAGTGGAGAGAGACGCATGTGCGTGGAAATAGCTGCTCCCTTTGTGTCTGTCTCCGGATCGATGACGCCACAGGTGTGCGACAAGCTGATGACGACATCCAGCGGCAGCACGGGCAGCAGAGGAGCTTCCACACTCGCCCCACACACACCACCAGCAGCCACCACCACCACCACCACAGACATGCCCACCCTGCCCCAGTCGCCCTCCCAGTACGAGCTGGCCAACCGAGTAATGGACTTCTTCGGCTTGCCAAAAGGAGAGCTGTACGTCAAGGCGTCAAACATCATCGCCGCCGAGGCCAAGAGCCTGGACCAGGTGAAGGTGTTCCTCAGTGCGGTGTCGAACCGGCTGCCTGCCTTCGAGTGGGACGCCCTGGTGGTCAATATCATCAACATATGGGTCGTCGAACACAGACACAAGGACCCCACACAGGTCGGTCAGTCAGTCGGGGAGTGTCTGAGGGAGGGACCGCCAATTCGATAGTCTCTGTCTGTGTGTGCTTCTTTCCTTTGTGGTGTGTGTGTATGTCATACATAGGTTCAGCTGGCAGCCCAGTTGGTGCATTTGATCCAGGACGACCGGCACAGGCTGGACGCGTATGTGCTGCTGGGGCAGCTGGGCCTGGCCTTCCACCTGGCCTGCAGACTGGGGAGCCTACAAGACCTACTCCACATCAGGTCAGTGAGTGAGTGAGTGAGTACCTTACTTACCTGCCTGGACAAGCTGACTGACGCTGTCTCCCTCTGTGTGTGTGTATGTGTGTGTGTGTGTGTGTGTTTTAGGGACGAGGCATCCCGCGCTGGCGAGCAGTCGCTGGTGGCGCAGGTGCATGCCTTCCTCTCACAGCACCATGCCGAGTAGATCGATCAAGAGTCCATCCACGGCACGAGATGGGATGCGGTCAGTCCAGTGCAGCCGCGTGTGTGTAGCTTTATCCAATCGACCAATCAGCGGTGCGGTGCGTGTGTGCGTTTATCGTCGGATCGCGTCCGTCCGTCCACGAGTGTGCGTGGCGTGCATGTGCGGTGTGTGTACAGCGGTTGGTTGGTTGTATGATGGTGTGCAGTGAGTGCATACGTTCTTCTAGTAGGGGCGACAGGATGGATGGAGGCCATGCGATGCGAGTCACTCGCGCATGCCATGGATGGTCTGCCACGAATGCAGTGAGTGACTCACACAATTTTCCAGCAAAGATGCGACATCCATCAATAGCTATGCAGCGCTGCTAGCAAGCACGTGCACGTGGGTCCGGTGCACGTGCACTGCGCGGTCCTCTGACTTGCGTGATCGATCTTCAAGCTCGATCGCGTGGGCCGCCGTCTCAGTCTCACCCGCAAAATGGCGAAAAACAAAAAGCACGAAAGCCTGTCGGGTGGTGACGGCGGCAGCCCCTTTCTACTGCCGTCCACCGACATGCCCCAAGACCAGCAGGAGCACCTCACCGCTCTCATGTCCGCACTCGCAAATGGCCATGACCAGAAGCCTCCACCGTCCCAGGCGGCCACCGACGAAGATGGATGCATCACCGTGACGCCCAAACCCCTCTTTGTGCTCAAGACCAAGGACATCAAGAGCGGCATGAAGCTGTTCATCAACATCTGCCAGTCGGAGCACCTGCCCCCCAGCCACACACAGGAGTTCATCGACGAGCAAGGCCAGCCACAGACGGGCGTGCACATGTCGGCGTCCATCGGTCCGGTGCGAGAGGACTTTGACAAGAAGGGGGCGCCGTGTATGGCGCTGGACATTGTGTTCAGCGACAGGGAGTTTGGGGGCGAGGAGGGCTTTGGCGCGATTGAGATAGAGAAGATGAAGAACGTGCTGCAGCGGGTGGCCGCCAAGTCCAACAATGAGATACAGCCCGACATGGACGACGGCACCTGGCAGATGCCGAGGCTCAGATACAAAGGTCAGCGACAAGAACGTACAGCAAATGGATTGATTGGACGAATGCACCATTTTTTTCTCTGTGTTGGCCCTCAGGCAGCACTGTGGAGCCGCATCGCATTCGCAAGAAAGCGGCGAGCAGGCCACTGGTTCAGGACGCCAGCCAGCCATCGGCGGCCCCACTGCCCCGCTGTCTGCAAGTCAAAGCTTCCATGCAGCCACAGGAACCCATTAAGGAGACAGAAAAGCCCCACACCAGCCCTTCGGACGACAGCAGAGACACCACTGGTGGCGTTGTTGTCTCGTCCTATAACGAGAGTCTCGGCCTGGTGGAGTTGTTTCTCTATGAGACGGACTATGCGGTGTCGTTCTACGATGCAACGAAGCTGCCGTCGCCCCCCATTCCCTCATTCTCTTTCGAGACCACCACGCAGGAGGAGGAGGAGGAGCTTGAAGGATGCAAGGCGCTGCTGGATGAGTTGGCGACAGATACGGTCTCAGCTGCCGAGGCCATCGACGCGTTCAGATACCCCCTCTTCCCTCCAGTGTCATCAGCACAACAGCCCCAGAAGGGCACTGCAATTGTCAACTGGGGCAAGATGTTCGGGCAGCAGCAAAAGAGCGACGCACCCGACACCACAGACAGCGGCCCGTCTGCAGAGGAGCGGGAGGCCACGCGTCTCGCCGACGAGCTGAGAGACATGCACTACTGGGTGGCCTTCCATGTGAAGCTACTCAAGTACAAAGTCCCCAAGGCCTCGGCAGATGCCAGCAAGAGACGTCCGAGACAAATCGACTTCCGGGAAGAGCTCGACATCCACCTCTCCGACCGGCGGCTGAGCGTCGGCGTCAAGTCGCGGGGAGCAGAAGACGCCGAGACCGACCACACGACCCTGCTGTCCCTCCGTTTTCCCTTCCCTGTAGAGTCGTGCCTGTCTCGTATTGGATGGTCGGCGGGTGAGGGGCTGCTGACGGTGCGGTGCCCAATCGACAGTGTTGCGAATCAGGGAGACGATGCTGGGAGCGAGAATGGTACGAAGCTTGTGGTGCCTGATGCTGTTGCTGAGAGGGAGGGGGAGGGGGAGGGGGAGGGAGAGGGAGAGTTGTCAGGGGGGGATGAGATAGAGACAGACGGAGAGCTGATGGACATGGTCTTCTGAGTGAGGAGTGGGGAGTGCGGGCCTGTTTAGATATCGACGTGCATGCGATGCGTGTGCGGATGTGAGCAAACTATCTGATTTCGAGCATCGGATTGGGTGCATGCATGCATGTGTACACGCAATGATTGATCGATAAAGCCATGCGTCCGTCCTCACACGCACGCATCCACACATACATGGACATCTCCGTTGATGTGTACTCCTGCACATCCGTCCGTCTGTGTATGTACATGACTGCCTGCACACCGATCGACCGCCTTCACGACTGGAAGGGGCACTTCACACACACACACACACACACACACATGCACACACACAGAGAGAGAGAGAGACGCACACACAGAGAGAGAGAGGCACACACGCACGACGTGAGCGCTAGCAAGACAGCCAGTCAGCTCAAAAGGGCAAAAAGTTGCCACATCCCTCAACGCTCACTCACGCAACAGATCCCACATAGACGTGTCATGAGCCACAGACCCGGACAGAGACAAGCCACACCGTCGTGGTTGATTGGCTGGTCGTTCCCCCGCGCCTCTGTCTCCCTCATGCTGCCTGCTGTAGGCGCCTTCCCAGACATTTCTGACGCACCTGGGCGGGGACCACCAAGGTCATGCGGGAAACAAAGGCGGCTGGAACCGACCAAACCCTCACGTGTCCATCGGACACCGTAACTGTGGTCAGCCACGTGTTACACCGCCCACGTGTCTCGCCAGTCCCCGTGGGACACACGAACACACACACGCCACCCAGCCCAGCCATCCCATCCATCCACACGGAAAAACTCGCCGTCATTGTCTGTCTCCTCCCCTCCCTCCAACAGCCCATCCCTCCCTCGTAGCTTTGCTACAATATATCCCATGCCATCCATGCAGAGAGGCCACCATCCCGTCACTTCCCGCTCCAGGTCTGGACCACCAGCGTGTAGACATAGTAGCACACCGCATTGGCTGGCAAGGCGCGAGATACAGCCGGCAACAAGCCCTGACACAGACAGACCAACATCACATCGGCCACCAATCCAACCATCCGATCCATGTCATATCCATCCGCCATGTGCATCCGTGCAGTGAGTGCATCAGTGACTCACCCTGTAAAAGCGCACGACACCGCCCTCCAGGTAGAGCTTGACGGCACAATCCACAACACCGTTGAATCTGGCCTTCGAGGCGCTCAGCTTGGCGCTCTGGCCCTGGAGGTTCGCCCGCACAACGTCAAAGGGGTACGCCGCCGCCCAAAACAAGACGCCACTCAGCCCCCCTGCTAACATCAGCTGGGGAGCGGTAAGGACAGACTCGCTCTGGCCTGTTAGGGAGAGCCAGACACAAGCATCCATCCATTTGTTCGGTCATGGCTTTGGTTAGTCTGGTTAGGTCACCATACCTGGCGGCGTTTGGAGCCTCTTGAGTGCGTCGAACGTTGAGTAGGCGATGGCGAACCCAGGTGTGTTCCGCAAAAACACAGCAGACAGGCCTGAACCAGCAACACACACAAATTGCTGGATGGTTCCTTTGTGCGGTGACGTCCGTACCTGCATAGACCTTCTGCGCCCTGACGACCTCTGTGAGGCAGTCGCCGAGCCCCCGGTAGCTCAGCGCCTCCAACTCATAGGCTGCCCGCCGACTCACCACTGCCGATGCTACGGCATCCCGCGGGGCAGCTACCCGCCTGGCCTGCTCGTTGGCCGCCTTTCGACACGCCTCTACCTGCATCTGCGTCTTGAGCATGTCAAAAGGGCACTCGACCACCGATGCGATGGCCCCCCCCGCCGCGCCGGCCGCCCCTGTGAGCATCGGCCGTGACCAGGCCCCTCCCGGCAGCTCGCCATTGGCGTTGGCCCGCTCCAGGAATGCGAGTGTGTTGCCGTACACGCCGTAGCTGGCGGACGCCACGAGGCAGTCACCCACCAGGGGGAAGGGGAGGCCTCGGTAGAACCCCCTCAAGCCCTCCTTCAGCCAAGTCTGACGGATGCAGTCAGCAAGCCCTGAGTAGAGGCGAGTGGAGCCCGTGGCCGAGTGGCTGAGGGCGATGCGCGCCTTCATCGTGTCCAGGGGATGGCCACACACACATGCCGCCAGGCCGCCACACACACCGGCCACGTGGTGCAGCCAGTCCACCTTGTGTTGTGTGAAGAGATGATAGGATGGCCGCTCCCTCTTGTGTCGTGTGTTGGCTGATGAGCTGATGACGAGGTCGATGAGGGGGTTCTGGAGGAGTACGGCCGTGAGGACTGAAGACAGGAGGGACGAGAAGGGGCAAGGGGCGCTGCGGAAGGAGCTTCCATCGTAGAGGAGCATAGAAGGCGTCGATGGGAAGGCATTCTCAAGCATTCCTTCAAGCAAAGCGCCGTCCTTCTCTCTCGCTATCACTCAGCTCGCAGGGCGAGCTCACAAAAAGCGACGCATCGCGTTTTTGGCTTTCGGCGCCTTGCTTTAAGTGGCGGCCTGCCTATTGTCCTCCGAGGAGTGCCGGAAGGTGACAGATCTGTGCGGCGGGCCGAGTTGCTGACAGGTGTGCCGGGCTGAGGGAGTGGCTGCGGCGCGTCAAGACCGATCTGCAGACCGTCAGGTGAGGGCAGGGGCGAGGGCTGGGCAGACAGCACAGACAGCGATGCGGGCAGGCAGAAAGTGGCGATGCAGTTCTGTCTTCTTCTGCGTGTCGTCTGCTGTGTGCTGTGTGTGTCAGGATGGACAGGAAGCCCGTAAGCGGCAGTGTGTCGGGCCGCAAGGGCAAGGGCGAGAAGGGCGCGACGTCATCGGTCTCTGCGGCTGACTACGAGGTGAGACGAATAGCGAGATGGACAGGATTAAGATGCAGCCAGCAGTGACGGCCCAGTGAGTGAGGACACACCACTGCGCGCCCCGTGGCTGCAGTGATGTGTGTGCGTGGGGGGGCCACGAGCAGGCTCTCGCGTGTCGTCACATTGCCTGCCTCTCTGTGTTGTGTGTGTGCCTCAGACCACCTCCACTGCTGGCGCTCTATCGACCCGGGCGCCGACCAGCAGCTATGGTGGCGACGACCATGACAGCCTGACCCATGTGGTGGGGAGACCGCCACACAGACGCACACACGGCCGCCAATGGATGGATGGCCATTCCCCTGCTGTGCTGCTGTGCTGTGTGTGTCAGGGTGGCGCGACGCATGTGTCGGGGTCGACGGACGACAGGATGGCCCTCAACGGTAAGGATGTCTGTCTGCACTCACAGTCACGCGTGCCGCCAAACGGACCACTGCTCTGCTGGTGTGGTGTTTTGGTTTGCCGCTGCAGATCGTTACGCCGACGTGCGCAGCGACAGAATGGGACTCGACGGTAAGGATGTCGACACTCTACACACCCATACACACACACACACGCAGCCAAACAACCACTGGTAGTGTGTTTGCCCCTGCAGCTCGTCAGCGCAACCAGGGCCGTAAGAAGGCTGCTGGCCGGGCGGGCGGCGACCCGTCGGACGATGGGGGCGACTCGGGCGACGAGAGCAGCAGTGGCCAGGGCGATGAGGGCGACGAGGACTACCAGGCACCCGACGGTCAGCCCCACACACACAGAATGAGAGAGCGTCGATCACATCTCTGGTGCGATCCCGTCCCTGCTGCAGACAGTGATAGTGACGATGACGATGAGTATGAGAGCTTGGGTGCGCGCACCACACACACACACACACACGCCTACGGCACGACCCACATGACGCTGCTGTGTCTGATGTTTGTGTCAGGGAGTGGCGGCGACCGCCTCAGCGACTCGACCTTCAAGCCACCCAAGACAGCCAGCAAGGCGGCACAGTCGGCAACCCCCGTACATCAGTCGGCCGTCCAGGGCGTGTGGTTCGACGAGCCCCGCCATGTGTGGATCGCCCACGTCAGGGTGGGCGGCGAACGGAAAAAGAAGAAATTCGGCGTGAGCAAGTATGGGGGCCGCGACGAGGCCAGGAGGGCGGCAGAGGAGTGTCGGCTGCAGAACGACAAGGACAACGAGAAGGCCGGCCGCCACATCAAGAGCCGCAGCAAGAGCGAGATCACCGGCGTGGGTCGCGACAACACGACAGCCCGTTGGGGCTCGTCCTGGTACGAGAACGGCAAGCAGAAGAAAGAGTGCTTCTCGGTGGCCGGGGTGGGCGAGGAGGGCGCCAAACAGGAGGCCATCAAGCGGCGGCAGTTGATGGAGACGGTCTGCCGAATCAGTGCAAGCTACGCGAGTGCACGAATGCAATGGGTGTGGCTCGTTTTGCTCATGTATGGCTTTTGTGTGTCCCTTCTCTGCCTGTTCAGACCGCCACCGGCCTCGACCGCAAGGACCAGGAGCTCGTCGACCAGCTGGCCGCCAAGAATGTCAAGGGCGTCCACTTCGACGAGCGCCAGAACAGGTGGGTGGCGTCATGGCGCGAGGGCGGGAAGCTGCACTCCAAGACCTTCGCCATCAACAAGCACGGCGGCATCGAGGAGGCCTACGACAAGGCCGTCGCGTGCCGCAGGGAGAAGGAGGCGAGCGGTGCGGCGGGCCTCAAGCAGCCAGCTGAGATCCAGAGCGGCCACAAGGGTGTGAGCTGGCACAAGGCGGGCAAGGCATGGGTGGCCCAGTGGTCTGGCGCCTCTGGCGAGCAACAGCAGCGCTACTTCTCTCTGTTTGCGTATGAGGGTAACAGCGAAGAGGCCAAGGCAGATGCGATTCGCTGGCGGAAGACGATGGTCGAGCAAACCAAGAGAGAGAAGCGGGACAGGCTGGTTGATGGAGCAGACAGGCAGGTGCCGTCACGCAAGCGGCCCTCAGAGGCGCCAGAGGGCCGCAGAGTGCGACGGAAGGCCACCAAGTAGCCGTCGAGGCCTTTTGCTGCCCACTCACTCTGCATTCGGCCGGGGGGGTCGTGTGTATGCCCGTGTGCGGTCGGCTGGTGGGTTGATAGCGGCACGATGTTTGTGTGTGTGTTTTGGGGGG